CCAATGCCTTGAACCTCTTTTAATTTCCATTCTGTTTTATTTCATTCAATCATTGGCTCTGTCTTTCCTTTTTCATTAACTCTGCCCTTTGCACAAGGCATAGGATTCTCTAAGGGGCCTTTATTGGGCTCCTTCATGAAATATTATATTGTAAAAATATTTGACCATGAGAATTGACAATTTTATATGTCTCCCGTCGGTCATACGTTTCTGCCTGATGCTCATTTCGGTTTTGATTAGGGCTTGGTCCCAGCTATTGATAATCACAGATTGATATGGGGAGAGAATGAAGAAGAGGAAACAGATATGTAAACAGCCGAAGATGGACTGGGCCTGGCCATGACTGGACACTTTCCCAGACATGTGGCCCAATCTTGAGGCATCGATGGCTTGTCTTTCACTGTTTTCCCAAAATAGCATTATGCTCATCACTCCTATGGCCGCTCCAAAAAGGGGCCCGGGATGGTGCGTGGGCTAATGAAATTTCTCCAAACCAAACAGATTTTTTTGTAAATATATATTTTGCAGAGGTTCCAGAAAAATGCTGGCTCATGCCAAAACAACTTTTAACTTCCATTACAGTCTGTCTATATAAATTGGCTGACATAGCAGCCCTTAAGGGAGGGAACATTATAATTCAGTTCATTTTTGGTAAGTGCCAGTGGTCTTTAAGTATATAATTTGCCAATGTAAACAGTTCACTTTAAATGCGGGTTACTTCATTGGCTCTTCACTGCTGCTATTTAGCAGTCAATTACAGTAAGTAATCTTTGTAATTAATAGTAAAACAAACACACATTTTATATATATATATATAATGTGTGTTTGTTTGTTTTAAGAGAGAGCGAGAGATAGAGAGAGAGAGAGAGAGAGAGAGAGAGAGAGAGAGAGAGAGAGTCTAGATTTTTTTTTTTTTTGAGCTAAGGTAGTAAATACTGTAGTAACCTAACCTTTAAACATGTTGGTGGCCCTTTAAAGTAGTTTTATCATGATACAGTCACCTTTAAGACTTCTTTGGAATTCTCAGCTGCATATGAGGTGACGCCCAGGCAAAAGAGGGACTCGGTCTGCTCTTGAATAATGTCTGCATTCCCACTAGGTCAGACATTTGAAATGCTCTTCATGTGCTTTGTATATATGAGAGCATTTCCGTTGTAAACACACTCCCATTTCCGCTGTTGAATCCGCGATGTTACGCACAGAACTTAACTTACCAAGATAATTCGTAAGGGATGAATATTGGCTTACAAAACAACATGCAACATAGTCGCAGAGGTTTTTTGGCAGAGCACACTTCCAAATTCTCAGAGGGAAAACATCTATTGCAGCATCATGCGAGCAGAATCACAGCAGCAAATGGGATGTAAAAAGAATAAAAAGCATTGAAATGTCAACACGGGTTTGTGAGGAGTCCTGAGTGGGACCGCGAGTTAGCGGTGGAAAAAGCCACTTAGCGCATCAGAACCATGGACAGCTACTGTACCACCGTATCCATCTCATGAACCCCGTGTGAAACATGAGGGTCGGAACACGTGGGATTTACACAGTGTTACCGCTGATTCCGAGAAAACCAGGGACAACCACCTCAACTGAGATGAAATTGTTTTGCTGTATTTCTTGGAATTGATGTTATTGAGTTGACCTCTTTTCATTCAATACCACTGAAATATCCATTCATCCATTTTCCAAGCCGCTTAAAGCGTCAAGATTAGTAAAACATTTCATTTGCAGTTAGAAAAATAGAAGACTGGTTACCTTAGGTTTCTAAAAATAAAATCAGGTGGTTCAAAAATATAGCAATAAAATGTATATCGTTATATAAATTACTTTATAAATGTACTCATAATCTGTTAAAATAAAGTTATTGATGGGGAATTTCTGTTGTCTTCCAAGAGGTTTAAGTTAATTAATTTGACTTTTCAACAGAGGGGTAATATAAAAAAAAAAAAAGGTTTAAGTTCAATACAGCAGGCGGTATTCTGTAGGTCGATCATATCACAAAATGGTATTCAGCTCAACTTTAGGCTTAGCTAATGGCTTTTTGTTTTTTGTTTTTTTTGGCAAGTACCTACCTCAGTTGCCTTTGTGCATCTCAGTCGACCTGCAAATGCTTGAGAGTAATACACTTTTAAAGTAACAGTTCTCTGTGCATAAATGGTGCTCATGTCAGTATTAATACATGATATCGAAATATTACTAGTATCGTAAAGGTAATTAACAAAGCTTGAAAAGCCAAGTGATTTTAGTGAATAAAAGTAAAAATAACACTTCAAACCTGAGTTTGTTCTCGTACTTTACATTGCATACACTGAGATGCAATATCTCACACATCAAAACACGAATATACATGCACACCTTTGCATGCGTTGGTGGGATGCTAAACTCCTCGGTAAGCTCATAAAAGAGGAGCAAACAGTTCAGTTTGCGCACGTGAGCGATCCATAGTATGCACGCGGAATATCTCTTCCATTATGACGAACTCCCATTTAATGACGCGCGCGCCTCAACATGCTTGATTTCACAAATCTCACTTCATTTGGCTTTGAGTACATCATCTCTATGTCAAATGCTGTGTGCCCCAATAATTTGTTAATTCCCGTTGTAATTTCTGTTTCTATCAGGCTGGTGTTCTCCGGATTTCAAGCTGCACTGCTCTCGGCTGTGCTCTGAAATGGAGAGGGAGGCTGAGAGGCGGTGGAACGGCAAAGCTTGATGGATATCGAGCCGGCACCACTAAGAAACACACTTCATGCTCTCCAGATGCATTTACCACCAGCGCCTCATTGAGGATTTATGCACACATGGGTTTAGCTTAATTGAAAAAAAAAAAAAAAAGGTTATATATAAGTTCATGGTTTATGATCACTAAATTATATTGAAAGACAACGGCTGTTTTTATTTTGGTCAGAAGATATGGCATAGATAATAAAAGTACAGCTAACTAAGTTTGCTTTTAATATGCATATATTATTTACAATAAAGTTACAACAAGAGTAGCAGAAATATTCAACAATTTAAAAATAATTCTTAAGGCTAAAAATAAACCATTTTCACCTACAAGATACAAGACTAAAACTCCTGCATATATGTCTGTGATCACACATCAATAAATACATCTGCTAATATTCAGCTGTAACGTGACCTTGGAAGAGCAAAACTGAGCGAAGAAAAAATTATAATTATTATAAATAGATATAAATATGTATAAATAGATATAATAATTATAAATACCCCTCACCGGTCAGAAAAAAAAAAGGTTTGACAGATATTAGACGCTTTGGGGTGAAAAAAATCCCAAACGCACAAAAATAACAGACAAACCGATAAATTAGTAAAAAAAAAAAAAAAAAAAATAAAT